TTATGATCGCATTTTATTGCGAACCGAATGCCCGATGCATATACGTGCCGTAAACATTTAATAACTGTAATTTACATAAGCGTTAAGTGTTTTTGTATCATACGACCTATATTCATCCATCAATGACAACCCATTAACGTCCTGTTTCTGGGGGTGGCTCTTCTTATATTATATTAGCAGAGTATTATTATTCTGGCTCTCACTTCACAGTTCTACTAACCCCCCCTCTCCTCTATAATACTGACATAGATTTTTTTTTATTTATGAGTATGTCTGATTGCATTATTATAGGTGTCTTTTCTTTTATAATATGTAACATTATTTTATAATATGTATATTAACAACAGAAGTATTTAAGTATGTCCATCAAATATTTAGTATCTACAGTATAAGCTCTGTTTAGTTTGGTACTACTTGTAGATGGCGCTGTTTAATTTGTCCAGTATATTTATTATTACTATACTATCAAGACAGTTTAGTATATGGTTATACTGAGGTTTCCTTCTATGTTGTACCTGTTTTCTTAGTCCTTTAATATTGTATTTTTTTTTCTTTTCTAACACTATATTATTTATTAAAATACTTATACTTTATAACAATGGTATGGTATTTTGAGGCCTGCAAAAAGAAAATGATCCATCTTTGGTAGGTATATTTACTATAATAACTTATAAAGCACCACTTGTCTATACGGACCTTTCTTGGAAGAGACGGCGAATGAGAGTGTATTATATCATCTAATCTAATAGACAGATATATAGATAATTTATTTGTACTACTTACGGCACACAAATAATACAGATTGGCATGCACAAAAAGAGAAAAGCAATTAATTAATTTATAAATAACTGACATATTTTTTTTCATTTTAGGATTATAAAGATGTAGTTACAATAATAAAGAATATTTTACACATTATATAATATTACAATTTCTGTATTTGTATTATCTTCTAATATTATAAATGTGATAGTTCATTCGTTTCTTCATTAATTCATTCGTTCGTTCTTGGCACTTTAATGGCTTTAAAAACACCTTTATATTTGGGATATAAATAGTACTTGGGATAAAAAAGGCTACTTTTCTTGATTACCCGAATAAAGTCGTTATCGATAGTTTTTAAAATATGGTAACCATAAATGCAATAATAATAACTCGATTTTTTGTGACTTTACATACTGATTTATTTCTAAAATTATGATAAATTTGAGTTCGAACTACTAAATCCGTTTGAATCCAATGTGTAACGCAAAAGATGCTATAATTACGTGATACCCAAATCCGTTGATCCATAAAACGGGTATGATATGATTTCCGTTTGATCATAACAGCATGTAACTCAATCGGAACATTCAAAAGATCGGATAGCTTAGTCCTAATTTTGGTCCAAGTAATGAGCGAAATAAATTTATCGTATTATTATATTTGTTATTTTTTACAATTATTTTATAATTTGAATAAATAATACGGAATCGACGTGAGAATAAAACCGATCGATTGCTTAAAAAAATACGACAATCAGTCCAGAGTGACAACGATACCGGGTAGTATACAAATAAATATAATTAAAAAATTTAGTTGAATTGGCAATCTCCTTCTTTTAGAACTCAATTGAAAAGAGAGTAGAAATTTTTTGTACTTAATCAGAATCTATAGTCTCTTTTCGCTTATTCCACACCGTCGTGTCTAAATTCAAATGCGAATATAATCGGAATACATCATATAAATCATACACTAAATCGATCTTTACAGATCAGTAACTGGTACTAGTTAACCTAATGCCCCATAACATACAAATATTAGTACTTGGCCAGTCGCCATAAGAAAATAATTGTGTAAATCACTTCGTATATGTAAAAGGAGAAACTAGTGAAGTATCTAGGTTTAAAAACATAAAACTTCGTATAAGAAACAGGTTCTTAGAATATAGTCCTTAAATTATAATTTAGAAATATACACAGAATTATTTTCTAGGAATTGGTTTCAGTACAAAATATTTTTGGATTGATTATAATATTCTTTTTATATGGATAATATTATATGGATTATCTTGACTTAAAATATTAAGATATATTTTTACCGGAGGGAGACTATAAAAGTCGTTTGTTTGGGCACCTCTTTCCCATTCGTGTTTCTACCGTGAAGCAGATGTATTTGCGTGAATTTACAGGGTACAGAGGAATAACACCTGAGTCTTCAGGAATGCCAACGTATGGGGGGTATCATTGGCTAAACAGTATACTCTGTTATGTCCATGATACTGTCCATGTCTAAAGCCGGTTATCACTTTCCATCAGGTGGATCGTCAATTTGTTTGCAATTCTAAGTTGCATAAAGAAAATTAAAATCTGACATTTAAAGTAAGTTTACATGAAGTTAGTAGAAAATTGCTTTCTAGACTGCTATTCAGAATTGAGAATTATTTGGTTTTAAAAATTATTCATACACACCGTTCTTAATATAAGCCCACTGAAATACTAGGTGTAGGGTATAATATTATGACATATTTTGTAAAAAAATATCGATTAAGATGAAGTGTTCGAAGCCTTACAAAATCATAATATTTGCCACCAGGACATAGTTCAAGCTCGACTTGTGCGGAACAATACAAAAACTCAGCGCACGATATTTCCAGATGGATTGATGTCAAGGAAATAAAGTTTGTCAAGTCGATTGTATGATACTTTTCGCGGGACAAAACGAGAAATATTGATTCTGAGAACAGGCTTTTATTTAAATATGGTTATTGTTATTTATTTTACATAGTAATATTTATATTTTAACATGTGTTTAGATGTGAATGTTATATAAAATAAATAATACATATATACTCGTATCTATGGACCCTAAAATATATAATAAATTCCCGAAGGCATTTAAAGAAATAGACAATTTAAATGTATTTAAGAAAAAAGTAAAGGAATATTTGACAGCTAAATGTTACTATACGTTACATGACTATTACATTGATAAATATCTATTATTACACAAAAACTTACTTTAATTTTATATTATACATGTCGATATGGTAGAATGTAGAATAATGAACATGTAAATAATATTTTCATCTAATGTATGTACCCATATTCGTGCAATAAATGATTTGATCTGATTTGATTTGATTTGATCTATACTATTTAACTACACATATCACAGCCTAACATTTCATATAGTTAATCATTCATCATCTTTCTGCTCTTAACTGTTCACTATTAAACATGGGATTTCTTATATATCATATTCTTACTATCATTCCATAGATGATTCAGAGACAAAAGAGATTCATGATAGATGACCCTATATAGTCAAACATTTTTTTTATGCAACTTAGAATGGCAAACAAGCTGACGGTCCACCTGATGGAAAATGGTATCCGTCGCCTATAGATATATATCTAACATATCATAGATTGATTCCCAGTAGACGAGTACTGACCTGATACATTACAGAGAATCAGTGACTGTAGGTTCTGTTAAGCACTGTAGGAAGACGGCTCATTTCAGTAATCTTATTTTTATCTATTCTGCCCGCTGTATAGCCTATTTATTGTTTTTTCAGGTTGCGTATATTTTGAGCTATATAGATTTTCGAGCACGAACCTTTGCATAGTTTACAAAGTAATTAAGAGAAAACGAGATTTGCTTTAAATAACTAGCCATGTAGCAACATATTTAAGTTTCGTCAGTAATCAATGGTTAAAATATCACGAAAGTCTAACTACAATACAGCAATACATATTGGTTAAAAACTTAAATTAGGATGTATTTTGGTTGGAAGGTATTTTATCTGAAATTAATTTGCAGTCTATGGGGGAAGTCTATATCCAGCAGTGGCCAGATAATGGCTGAAATGATGGTGATAATGATGATGTTAAAATTAATTTCGTTATGATCCTGTCTATATATTTGATCAAGGCATTGCTCTTATTTCATTATACTATTAAAGATGGCAAAAAAACCTAACGGTCCGATCTGCCTGAGGGAACCTTCTCCCTACAGTGGGATATTATATTATTAAAAAGGTTACGACTGTCCATCAGATGAGGTGGATTGTTATTAGTTTTTGCGGTCACTAGTGGGAAAGGAAAATAGAAGCATTGTCTTGATTTAGATCTGCTCTAGTCAACTTTAACTCTGCGTAACTAATGCATTCGAAAATGCATTCCTCTTTATACAGTAACGTGAACTGTCGTAAATCTTATGTACTGTATAACTGAATTTATTGCTGCTTGCATTCTCACTGTACATGAAGTATTTTGGGTAACAAATTTTGGAGCAGCTCGGTTAAAAATAGAAAATATTGCGCACAAAAATTTCAACCTCTGATATTATTCATTTTGACACCTCGTTTCAGCTGTACGGAATTGAATTTCTGCATTTTATTCTAGTTTCGTTATGTTTATTTTTTGTGATCTTTTCCTTTGCGAATAATTTGGTTCAATTTTATATTATGATCCTAATTTAGATATAAGTTACGCTTCGCAGTTTCACCCGGGCGTAGAAATGAAAATAAAATTAACATGCACGAAACATCCTATATTTCATTTAGTGGTACAATTAGTGAATCTGATTTTTTAATGGAGTATATTCGTGTATATATAAGTATAATAATGATTATAATTCAGAATATAGTTCTGGATATATCACATACATACAAATTTATAAATGGAAATTGATTATTTTAGTCTGAAAAATTCCAAATTAAGGCAGTTACTTGTATTAATTTTACGAGTTTGTCTATTCATGATTATTCAGTATGTAAAGTTAAAAGATGGTCAATAAAAATATTGTGAATGTTTTACCTTGTTTTTATTATTTTACATACCAGAAAACCAAACAAAATTATATGAAGAGATGCGTTAAATTTAAATATGTTTTGAATTCGCTTTTTTATGATGCAAAAATATAATGACTGGGCCCAGGCTCTTTGCATACTGAAAATCTCTTTTATCTCTTTCTAACAGAAGCGTATATTTAATTTATATTTTCTTTTGTCTACAGGCCGTGGACTACCTAAAAAAGCGGACACCAGCGCGAGCAGCGCTTATGATAGCCGCTGTGTGGCTAATGAGCGCGTTAGTGTGTATACCGCCTTTACTAGGGTGGAGAGTAAGCCGTCCGCCTGAGCAGTTTCCACAGTGCAAGGTCAGTTCGTGTAATTTGTTATAAATGTATTTATATAGGTATATATATATTCATTTTAAGGCCATGGTCACTGTGTGTGCATCGCGCTCGTTTCTTTCTCGCATGTGTGGACTGTAGAATGAGTTTCCCTCTAAGACTACGCTATATCTACACTAAAATATAGGGCTCTTCAAAACACACGCCTCCAGTTTCTTACAAGACCGGCAGCGCATTAGCAACCTCTCTTGTGTTGCAAGTGTTCATGGGCTATTGTAGCCACTTCCCATCAGATGGAACGTTAGCTCGTTTGCCGCCTTATAAAAAAAAGTACTTGACTATAGTTTTCTGATACCACTGTCTGTATTGTACTGTCTGTATTGAGTAATTCGAGGCTTTATTTGCGTAAAGTCCACATCTTTACAGATATGTACTTATATTCATAATATTAGTAGTTCTATCTTGCGACTTTGCCGGTTTGAAATAGATTAAAAGTAATCACACTCACACACACACACACACACACACACACACACACACACACACACACACACACACACACGCACGCACGCACGCACATCCAAACATATTTACTGATTTTCACACTTATAACGTTTACTTCTAACTTACTGCTAATGACGTTTACAATGTAAGTTTGGCAAACTGCGTATAGATAAATTGTTGTATTATTTTCTATTTAATGGCATGCTCATTTCTGTTTGCAAATTGTATTGTAACTTGTAATAAATAAATAAATAAATAATATTGGCGGGATTAGATATTTTGTGAATCATCAATGTTGTCATTTTAGATCCGTGAAATTAAGATAGATAAAATTAATGAAATTATACCCGGAAGAAGTTAAGGGCAACAGTCGTCGCGTATAAAATATTTTAAGAAAATTAATTTCTTAAATTAATTTCATAAAGTGTTTTATACAGAACATCTTCTGTTATTTTGCACCGTTCCTGAATATTTCTTAATAATAAGTTGTAACTTTGAGTGTATTATTTTATATTACAATTTGTCTTATATTTATTGCTTATGTTATTTTATACCTTATTTTGTATACATATATATGTATATTTGACTGAAAACATTACATACATATCTGTCACGCCTGACTCTTATTAGGATAGGTAAAAATTCCAAATGCTTCGATTCAAACAGACCCCTTTCGCTTCCACCACATTTATCAATCTTTTTACACGCTCGCTGGTTACGGGTACTTATAATTTGACCCTTCTTCAGCACGCTGCCTATTTGGTTGAATATAAAAAACATTAAACACGTAAAACCGTTGTCAGGTAACTCACGTTAGAGACCTTTAATATATATATGTATTGCGTGTTCTCAGAAGAAGGAAGTGACAATTACTATTTTTTCTTTACTCAATGTCCTCTACCCAAAGGTTGTCTGGAAGAGATTGCTTAGCAATAAGGCCGCCTTTTGTATCATTTCTCATTACAATTAAATGTATTTACTATTTTATAAATGGTGCAATAAAGTATAAAATAAATAAATAAATGAACGATTTTTAAATATAAACATTTATTTTATTTAAATTTAAATTTTATTATTTTTACGTTAAGCTGGGATTCGATCTGCCGTCTATTGATAGTTAGTGGATATATATTTTTATAACGGTAGTAGTTGCTACGTTATAACAGGATCGTACTTGCTATTTTAAGTCCAAAGTACCTTATCCAATCAGCAATAGAGTATTCAATTTAGTCACATTATGAGTTAGTATATGGTGAAATGGATAATGTAAATGCAATAAAAAGAACTAAAATGGTACAAATTTGGTAAGTAATACAAAATTTGTTCATCATTAAAATCAGAGACAACTTAAAATCAAATAAAGAATATTTAAAGGTAATTCAAAACCAAGCCTTATCTAATTAAGATGATACATAATAGAGTAGTCTGAAAATCCAAACTAGAATTGGTTTGGACTCATTCCTTCCTACAGCCAACTTCCAAAAACTTTCAACACAACGGAAGACATTACAATAGAATATTACGAACTTTCCTTCTATACTACCTAGCGCAAACAGTCAGACATTCGATGTATATAATAAAATAAACCCGTATTATTACTAACGCGAAGGACTATGTAAACATTTACTAACTCATTCAAGGGTCTGGCTAAATTTTATCCGTAGTACCAATGTAAACACGTAGAAAGTACCTAGCCGTTCTCCCACTATTTCATATTTGAGATATCGTGCCAGAAAATTATTACTACCATTAATACTACACCAGTGTATTTAGAGTGTGTAGAATAAGTTTGATAAAAAAAAAAATAAATAAATACAAAACCAAAATAAAAAAGAGGCAGTTCACTTGCAACGCCCCTTGTGTTGCAAGTGTTTATGGGCAACGGTGGCCACTTTCTATCATACGGACATTTTTTTTTAATGGATAATGAAATGGTTACCCCACTTGCGTTGTCAGTATACACGAGCAGGATGCCAGTGAGGGATGATAAGTGAAGATGAAGCAGATCCATTCCAGGTGGTAGAGCCACGCTGTAATACCATATGATATTGCAGCATGAATGGGCCGGCTCGACCGGGGAAGTACCACACCCTCACAGAATACCGACGCTAAAAGTGGTTGCACTTTCACACACACACACACACACACACAAACACACACACGGACGTCACGCACACACCATCCACACACCCATCCCACACAAACACACACCTTTCCTATTCCTAAAATTTTTCCCCAACCCCGTCCCCCTATCTTACATATTTAACCATGTGATGGAATTAAAAAAAAATAACATACATATTACCATTAACCATGTTGCTGGAACCTTCTCGAGCAACCACGCTAATGTTTACCAAGGTAAACGTTTGGCAAGATTTCTACGGCATCCCCTTCGCTCAATGTGAGCTTCTGCAATATCATTTAATGGCATGCCTAAACGCTGTTTGCAAATTGGCGCGGCCGGCATTGTAACTTGTAATAAATAGATATAAATAAATAATATTGACGGGATTAAACTTGAATCATTGTTTTGTTTCGCGTGCCGGTGTAATGTCAGAGAGGAAAATTGCTGTCGCGATTGTTTTGAAGGGGAACCTGTCTATTTTATGGCTGCGCGTATAAAATATGACCATCCTAATTTCTAAATGCAATTTATACAGGCCCCATAGCGGTAACATCGAAACCGACCAACTCATTGAGCACGTCCAAATATTTCTAATATTCCCTGCTCGAACAGATTCCTTCCGCTGAAGTCGTGATTCTTGGCGATTTTAATGCCCATATATATGATGGCTTGGTTCACATACAACCGACTATGCGGGAAGATCTGTTCATGACAAACAGAATTACACGCATCCTCGCCTACGCGAATACCTGATGTGTTTTCACCTTCACTGCTGGACCTTCTGCTGACCACCCACCCAGACAACTATGTGATTTCCGTCGAAGCTCCGTTAGATCGTCGGATATATATGTATTGGTGTTCTCAGGATGCCTCTCATTTTTTCTTTCCACCACGTTCCACGGGTTGTAGAAGTCGATGTTTGGCACTACAGGTCAGCAGACTATGAGATGCTTTTTTTTAAATGCATTTACCCATAAATGGTTTAAAGTATAACAAATGGATAAATGACGCCATTTTTAAATATTCCATTGCTATTTTATTTCAAATGGAAATTTTATTATTTTTACTCTGTGGTGCCCGTCGGCGGAAATCCCAGCCCTGGTATATATTTTGTATAACAGCATCTCGTCTGAAACAGGATCGCTTCCTAGCCTTTTAAGTCCAAAGGTGTGGCGTCCTTATCCTAACACCAGTGCTCTTAAAGAGAATTAAATTTGCCTCTAGGTCTTTCAAAAGAGTTATAGCCATAGAAATGGATAATGTAAGCATATTATTGGCAAGAGATTTGGCTAGTAACTCGAGCTTTCTGGTCTCTTGCCAAAGCTGCACATAAAGAATTTCTAAATGGCGCAGGGAGGATGACTCATTGGCCCAGAACGCTAAGGAAAAGGCCGATCTTCTTGGATCCATCTTTGCGTCAAACTCGACATTGGATGACGGGGAAAATCACCAACGACCATCACGTGTTGTACGAACTTATGTACTTAAATTCACGCATAGCGTAAAGAGTCAGACTTTTCTCCCTATATAATAAAATAAACCCGATATTATTACAATTGTGCTTAGGACTATGCGCACATTTACTAACTCTTCTGGCGCGTCTTTTTCAAGGGCATAGTCCCAAAGTTTTGGAAGACTGCTCTGGTATCCGATCCAATGTAAACAACTATAGAAATAGCTATCACTTCCTTATTCTCGAAGGTTATGGAATGCTTCGCCTAGAAGAGCACCAGCTGATCTGTGATCGCCAGTACGGCTTTCGACATACGTTCACCAGATCTTTTAGTATTTAGATGGGCAGTGGTAATCGAATAAGTTTGATAAATATAAAAAATAAATAAATACAAAACCAAAATAAAAAGAGGCTAGTTCATTTGGGTTGCCTGTGTTGCAACTGTGCATTTGGGTCGCCAGTTTTCTCAACGGACATTTTTTTTAATGGTAATGAAATGCATGCCCCTGATTTAAAACCTTTGAATGCTGGAATGCCAGTGAGGGATGATAAGTGAAGAATGATATGTTACAGATAAGTTATCCCATCGTGACAAATTTTCTAATGAATCAATCACGATTGTTTTCAAGGGAACCACGAGGAGTTCGACCTGATAGGGTATATTGCTAGTAATAAGGTTAATAATCCCTGTTACTAACAATTTGTCCATTTAACCCCAAAATCTCACAAGTGGTATTTCATAAAAGACGCTTGCGTTATTGTATCTCCTAACTTTCAACAAGAATTTAGGAATTCTGGGCGTTGATAATATTTTTAATATGAAAAAAGTAGTACGATATTTCATGATGGTCCATCTAATAGAAAGGGGTATATTTTTAGACCGCATTCAGATAATGGAATGGGAAATCGATAGTCAACGCTTTTCCGACTTGCGCAGAGATG